AGCAGCAGTGTAAACATAACGTGTGTTGCACTGTTAAAAAAAGTGAATTGAAAAAAAAACTGCCCATCGCCTTGTGGAGGAAGAAATTATTATTCGGATGTTTTAGTGGTTTTTCCGAAGAGCGCGTTCCGTGGGGTCTGCCAGTCTCAATTGTTTTATGATGTATGTATATTTTTTTGAAAACCGTTATGTTTCGCCGTTTCACACCATAAATAATACCGATAATAGGCGAACAATGAATAACTTGTTATGGTTTTATAATTCGCGACCGCCGTTCTAATTAACATAAAATATTCATTTTTATAAATAATGTAAAAGTTCATTTTACATAAATCTCAATTGATTAAAGTGGAACAGGACATTTTTAAATTGAACAAAATATTTTTAACAAACATTCTTTAAAAAATGTTTGAGTTCTGAAACAATTATAGAGAATGCGAATGGAATGGAAGGGTAATAATAGGGAAGAAACAAACCCGCCGCCGAGACGATAATGCGTTTTTATGCAAATATATAAAATTTTACCATTAGTTGTCACTTTTCTTGTGAATTTACATACACAGTAAAATAATTCTCTGTTCGCAAGTGTTACATCAACATTGTGAGTGCCTATACATAAATAGTAGTGTATGTAACAGAGAATAACCTCACGCGGCAAAAAAAATATTATTTGGCAAAGACACTATTCTAGGGCCGTTTCGATTTGCGAATAAGGAAAAAAGTTAAAATAGACGACAAATTCTTCTCTTGTCGTGAAACACCTTTGAAAAAATCAATTTTTTCTTACGGGTCGTCGCCTCAAGGTTTTTGGCAACCCGCATAATAATGTCGTACCACTGCAGCGGTCTATTTAAAGACAAACAAGTTTTGCTCGTTAATCCGAACGGTAATTAATCGATATGTGTGAGTATGTAATGCCACCTCCGGTAGTATATCCCTCGTACGTCTGAGTGCGTTTTCCCTGTTTGACTACGGAACGTTTCAATTAAGAAATAATAAAATAAAAAAGATAGCCGCTAGGTGAATTGGTACTATTGCGAGTACAAGGCGAACAAACTGGCTGAATCAACTGTAAAGTAAACTTTTATTGATGTGTTATACATTTTAATGTTGTGAACAACACTCAACGATTGAGTACGAACCGTGAGATGGATACCGAAGTCATCTTATATATATCCTTGTACGACCAACTAATAATAATTATTTTATGATTCATTCTATAGCAAAAATAACCATCACACAGAAAATTTTATTACATTTGTTTTTATTACACTTGATGAGTCTTTCGGCGTATTTTTTTTTTACAATTCGATGCGCCAAAGTTTGTTTTGCTTACGGTGTACATTATAGGAAATCATTTTGCAGTTTATTATTTCTTTACACGAATACCTCATTAACCGTCAGCACGACCGACCGATAAAACTGAGCAAAATTAACTTTTCGTATATGTTTTTAATTTTAAATAACCACCGTGTTTTATTTAAGTCTTTGGCTTTACGAAAAAAAAAAACTATTTATCCTTTCAATATATTTTTATAATGTTCTTATGGCATTTTAGGATGTACACAAGGCTATTTCCAATTAGGTGTCTGTAAATTGACCGTTGGGTGATTTGTGGCGGTCGATATTTTATATATGGAAAAACAGCGGCATTAAGTTAAATGTGTACGGAAGGCGTAGCTGATGGAAAAGATGGCAGTCGCGTTGCATAGCGCATACAAGAGTTGAAAATCGATTAAGTAAAGACTCCTCCCAATTGAATTGCAGTACCGTCTCGTCATAATAGTTATCAGAGTGAATAAATACCGGTTTTTGGACTGAACCCGGGTCCGATCAATCACGAGCTTTCCTAATAGTTGATGTCTCCCGTATAATTGCATTCGAGTACTCACGTACGGATACCGTTAAAGTAGAAAAAATTTCATCGATTTTATGGTCATCAGAAAATTCCTTTCTGAAGAAAGCTACGAAAATTCTATGAAATAAAAATCTATTCACGTCATCCCCTACCGTTTTTATGATTCCTTCGCTCGTGGGTATTTGCAACAGCACATATTTCATTGGCTATCGCAGATTATAAGTGGCCATAAACTGTTTTCGCGTCTCTTTGTGCATACGATCGCGGACATTAATAAACGTCCATAGCATTGAGCTTATACCATTCGCCGTGAACTTTATCATTTAATATAATAGACAATTGTATTAGAATCATATTAGCTGTACTTAATACACATGTTGGAATTATCTCCGGTATACAAATAACGAGTATCTCTTTTGAATAGCTGCGAGTCTCGATTGTTTAACGTTTCTTACAAACAGATAACTTGATCATTATCTCCGATCACCGGAATCTTCGCAAACGCGCAACTACTGCAACTTTGGGTTAGCATATGGGAAGAAATAACTTGCGACCGATAGCATACCACCACCGTCGCCGCAGATGGTTGATAACAATCTTTGTTTGCATAAGACAATCCGTGAATAATGGAGAATCGTGGCGACCGAGACCGATAAATTATATCGTTCGACTGGCCGATTAATTCGTACGACTGCAACTGCCGGTCGAACACTGAGAACGGGTGTGCAACGTTTAAAAGAAACTTAGGGTTTTGGGTGCATGTGAAACCAAGTAGAATGAGAAACGGTTTTTTTTTGTAACCGGACATCAGCAAATTTTTGCAAAATCGCAGTGTCACCATAAAACAATGACCGCTCAAAATGATTGGGTCCCAAACAACAGAGGATATTAGTTTTTCGTTTTTATGTAAGCCATATCGGAAAACCTGCAAATGTATCATTAACCTCTGCATATTAAATACTTAAGCCGTTACGACTTACTTGGAGCGTTAATATTTTTTGTTTCTTCAATTTTATTTTATTACCAAAAACAGATAGGTTATGTAGAAAACTTGTGGTAATTACAAGGTTCCACCTAAACGCTGCATAAGTCACATGTAGTGATTGATTATCTTTGGAAAGATTAAAAATTGTTTCCCAGTTACTCGACTTAGCACATGATGAAAACACCGCGATGCAGGAACTTCATAAACAGTGTAAATAATATTAATCTTTTCTTCGATAATCTTAACCCTTGTATGTTCTTTTTCGCACACAATCATAATCTTTTTTTTTTTTGTTATAAAACAATGGTCCTCGTAGTAACTATTTTTAAGTTGTTACAATGATAAAAATCTTTAGCGATTCAATTAAAAAAAAAAATTATTAATAATTTTCCATTACTACAATATTAATAGAAGAACCGTCTAAAGGAGTACCTTGTTTGTCCTCTAATATTAAAACTGCTTAGGGGACAGACATAAATAAAACATAATTCATTTATATTTAATGCTTATCAATATATATCATGTAACATGATTGCAGCTCCGTATCAAAACTATTTTGCCCATGAAACGATTTCTCCGTATTACTTACCATGTAGTCGCTTGTGCATCATTCGACAAACATTGTGACCATCTAATTTTCGTTGCATTAATACAAGTATATTATATGTACATGTGTATAGAATTCTCAGAATACTTATATTTCTCGTAATATGGTTTATTGGCTCGTATATCGTATACACATGTATAGGAAACGCTCTTGTCTTTACGACTCTCGAACTGAAAGCCTTTAATTATACTTGCGTATAATAGTTTGTGCACGTCTGCTGCTTAGTTTTGTTATCGTTAAACTTCGTACGCAGCAATAAATTATAATAATGTTTATAAGAAACAATGTTGTTTTAATTTTATAATGCGGTCAACTCTTGCGCAGTCACAATTGACAGATCTAATAACGTAAACGTTTTAAGTAAACCTCGTTCATTACGTTTAATACTAATGAGGGATCCCGTGACGACCTCACGGGCAACAATTAAAAAAAAAAACAATGCTATTTTCTCTGTGCTACTACAAGGTGGTCATTCGTTCACCCCAATGTTTTTACGGCTCGTTAAATCTCATTTGGTGGTAGCCGTTGTCGTTTAGTTCGATATTTATGATCTTGCACCCGTCAAACGTCAACGTATGTCGGGTTGGCTTGTGTCATATATTTTTGGGCTGTTTTTTTAAATGGTATCTGCTTCAATAATTCTCAGCCTATTCATTGGGTGATTTACGCAAAATCGCTATCGAAATAACCCAGTAATAGTACAATACTAAAATATTATTATATTTTGTGAACCGGTCTGGACATAACACCTTGAACGGTGTAAAAAATCGAATTTATGATAATAGTTTATTAATTCTTTGGACGTAGAAAAAAATAATATTTAATAATTGTACTAATACCCGTAAGTAATAAATATCTCATCCATTTACAGTAATTATTATTGACGTTCTAGTCCTTAATAAAATACTATACTAGTTTTATATATTCGTTTCATAATAAGGTCTCGAAATACCTTGTACATTACAAAAACGCAATTATTGACTATAGTGTTTATCATAATACAATATTACACATAATACACCCATTCGTCCATGGGTGTGTTGACTGAAACAGATCTTTTCTGTTAAGGCTATTGTAATTATAATTACAATTGTTGATAAAGAAAATAACTCTAAGGCCTAGTTGGCATTTGATTTAATCAGTTGTTGGTACAAATTTAGTTACCCTAAACCCTGTTATAGACGTCATGCTGTGCTGTTTTTGGCCAATTAGTAAATCCTTGTAGGACACCCTCTCAATATTACTATATATATATATATATATATATATATACTTGAATTATTTACGCAAACAAACTAATTCGTTCTCCGCATTAGACAATTCGGACAAATAAGTTTTTTATGAGTCATTAAACTAGACTGTTGACTGTGAACTCATCCGGACAATTAGCTATTACAACGGTTCTTAAGTGTAATTCAATTATCTATGTATTACAATGTTATTACCCAGACAGCGTAACGTATGGCCAGATTTATTAAAATATCTTTTTACTTGATTTGTATAAACATTAAAAACGAACAATTCATTAAAACATTCATTTTTATTTATAGGTATCTGCATCCGATCCAGACTGTGGAGTCAACTCAATGGTAAATTTCACGCTGTCTGACAACAGCGGACCGTTTTTCATCAAGTCCGCCACAGGAGACATTTGTCTGACAGGGCCGTTGGATTTTGAGACGCGGAAATTATACGAGTTCCCAGTGATTGCCACAGATAGAGGTAAATATATCGTATACAGAATATCTTTGGCACAAAAATATCGCTTTGAGTATAACAGCGATAAAGGCCATTAAAAAATTGAAATTTTATTGATAAATAAATTATAATTACGTTAAACGACTCCTGCAACCGGAAAAATAAACGTACTCATTTCGTCTAATGTATTTTTCATAGAGAACGCCTCTCCCTCGAGGAAATGCACCTGTTGAAATAGGTATATTCGTATGTATATTTATTTACACAATTATCTATGGGGGGTTACAATAACTATCAGATATAAAAAACCACTCGGGGCCTTATGATTTTTCGTTAAAATTTGTTTATCGTCAAATAAACAGTTCTATGATAAATGTAAATATAACTTTTGAAACTTTTTACCCGAAAACAATATAAACACTTTATTGTTCTCGCACCACATTAATATAATATTTAATATATTCGCCTGGTATACACAAACTTGAAAAAAAAACCCACGTGACCGTACAAAACTGCCGTCGATAAATCAGAGACCCATTGCACGCGCGTAAACCGGTTAACCCGCAGACGCATCCGATGTTTATCGGTGTCTCTGAGTGAGGAAGTGTACAGCACCTCAGCAGGTCCGTTGAAATCTATCTGGTCAGCCAGCGGCAGAGATCCGCTGGAATAAATATCTTTTCGCGGCCACCTGCTGCTGGTGTTGCTGCTCATCCCTTGTCTTTCAACACATCTACTCTTGTCGGTTTATTACTGCTTTTCATCAGCTACGCGTTCTTTGTTGTTGTGATAATATTGAAAGCGTGCCACCGATATCATTATAATTTTCGGCGCATTTTATTCTATAATAACAGTGTAAAAAGTAGTGTTACATGGTGTGACAGAAATATCCCATTTGTATAAATCCCTATGGAAAATTGACACGTGTTAATTGTACTTACGTGGACGATTTTATCACGTTAACTATATTACTTACAATTTACAGGCGGCTTAAGCACAAGCGCTGTAGTTAAAATAGACGTACTGGATATCAACGACAACTGGCCCGTTTTTTCACCAGCCGAATACAACGTATCAATTGTATGGAGCCCTAACAATCTGGGTCCGATCGTGGCCGTCCGTGCTAGAGACTTGGACTCTGGATCATATGGCGTGGTGTCCTATAACTTGATATCGGCTAAAGGTAATTATTCTCGATTTGTACAACTGGATAGCATTTTATAAAATTCTAAATTATTTTGTTATCCTTTATTGCATTATTCAATATCACAGGATGCTGTTCGCGGTTATTATACTTAATCTTGTCAGCGAATCATAACTGCGTTGGCGTTTGGCAACTGCCCTGTTGAATCCTTTCGCCTTTATGCTTGTTTGTATTTATTAAAAAAGCTCATAGGAAGCCATCGATCAAAAAATAACGCGTATTTCCTTCCCACGCAGAATTTCTGCAATAAGCGCGCAAACAACGCCTAAAAAATTATCCATTTGTTTCTATTCGATTTCAAGATATTTTTTTATTTTATTGACACAAAGAAACGATATCTCTAAATTATACTCGCTTGCGTGTACATAAAAAAAGTTAAGACGAGCGATTACAGAAAGTACATTTATTGTTTATATTTTAACTGTTTTACTCGAAGACTTAAATTGTATCCATTCGTTTAAAATGTACATTGTCGTCTCTCATAGAATAAAAAATAGAAATTTTACATAAACTCAACTAGTTGTTTTACATACAGGGCCCAACAACGAAAACTCCGAATCATCATTTCGGTTGGACGGCACTACCGGAGAGATTTGGGCGGCACAACTCAAAGCCGGCGTTTACCAGCTGCTGATAGCCGCCAAAGACGGTAGCGGTAACGAAGCAGCACAAGTAGGACGGGTACGGATATCAGTTTTGGCCGTTGATGAATCAAAACCTTACGCCGTATTCGTTCGATCTCAGTACTCTTTCGCTGTACTTGAAGATACTGCAATAGGAACAACTGTCGGAACAGTCGCTGTATCACATCAACAATCGGGTATGCGTACAGTTTAATTAAACTATATGTTGACCGCGTTAACATGCCATGAAACTTGCGACACGCCTAAACGTGTTGAGATGTCGTAGTCGTGCGAAAACAACCGAGGGTATTGCGCTAGGGGAAATAGGGAGGAACTGGGATGGATGGAAACAAAATACTTCGGTTGGTTAACGACTGTATTTTGTAACTGAACCGTGTAAATACGCAGATTCTTTCGTGCGTGCAAAGGATACGTTCATGTGTGTGTGTGTGTACATTTGTATTGTGTAATATAACTTGTTTGGCTGCGGGTAAAATGGCATCGTCGGGAGCTAAATAGTAGACACGATGCAAAAAAAAGTGCACATGAATAAATGTTGTGCGCGTCGGCGGGGAATGTATGCACAAAGATGAAGTGCACTGGCCAAAGTCGTGAATTGTACCGGACTTGCAATACGTCTTTATTTCATACAATCACGACTTGTGGTTCGGGGGGTAAGTCACAATAATATTATTATAAACGGAAGGTGCGTGAGCGTATCGTCCTACTACTTCTCGCACCCGAGTGTAACGTCTCTGTTTACACGTCGTGCATCGTGTATTGGTTTGGCAACAGTAGTGGCGAGAATTTCGGTGGCTGATATGTATTCGTATATTGTGGTGGTCACGACTGTCGTTCATTAAAGTATCCGGAAGACAAAACGCACACACGGCGTGGCGGAAAAGCATACCGCAAGTTGCACGGGACGATCGAAAGCAGCCAAGACTTGCTGGCTCGCGATAACACACAGCCTTTTCTATTTAGCATATTTTATTTGTTTTTTTTAATCGCGGCCGTTCATCGTCGTGCTCGATTTCTTGTCAGATTTATTCGTGTCAGCATCCCCTCGAATGAACAATCGCCCTACGTGCACTGATATACTGAACGCAATGTTTTCTTTGTTCTTCGGTTGACTGTCGTTGAAAAAGCCATCAGTCTGTAATGATGAGACGGTGCAACTGCCATTGTTGCGCGACGTCGTTTATGTATTTACATGCGACGTAAATAACCGAACTTTATGTCTATCAACTTAGCCAGCTCAAGTTGTTTATCGTTATTTTACCCATTCTCTTGTTCCTCCATTGTACGCGAAGCGGTCAATGACGCGTCCCTGGATGGTTATTAATATTTCATTCAAATTAAATAAACCGGAACGCCGCGATTCGTGTACAATATTATAATATTTTGTTTATAAATTAATTCACGACGAGACGCGTAGCCAAAAGATACGTCATGTTTATAGCGACTCCCGAAACCACTCGCCTGTGTAATGCTTTAATAATGTGACACCGGACATTTATCGTGTACACTCATAAGTCATAAAACATGCAAACGAATCGTTCGGTACACAGTCAAGTGAGATAAAA